GAGAGAGGGAGAGGGAGAGAGAGAGAGAAAGAGAAGCGTATAATGAATTGCAGGTATTCAACTTTCTCCCATCAATAACAGCTAGAATTTTTCCTTGCATAATTCTTACAGAGGACCTGATCGAGCGGGTGAGCTTTTGGCGACCTTTGAACTCTTGCAGGTAAGAGATGTATATAGATGTTGTGTGTTTATATCATTGCTTAAAGTTGCATGCCATACATTTCTTGGTGAACTTCCATAGTTAGGGCATTATGAATTGTACGCCTTTTTTAAATATTTGACATGTCGTGCAACATCTGCCCATCCTTATATTATTATACTATAACATGGTCGCTTTTAAGGACAAGAGGGCTAACTCGGATTTCGGGGGTTTCCAGAAATATTGACCTACACCAAAAGTGGGCATTGCCCTACTTATGGGAGAAGTTAGGTTTTATTGGTGCGTATATTTGTTTGGTTATAGAGAAAACTCTCCTTGTCTTTTAAAGAAACTGAACAAGGGGCAAAACCTTTAACTTCGATTTTCTCAAAACAGGATACCCCCCTTGTTCTTAAAAGTGACCAATTGTGAATTTTGACAAGGATTTGTCTGAAGGTTAGTCAGAATTCTGGAACTGTGTGTTGAAATTGCCACTTTCTCTACGGCAACTGTCATTTTTCGTAACTTAACCACTTACTTAAAACCTACTGCTGTCCCAATATAAATGTATGGGAGCGATTTCGGCGTCAAAAAATGGATATACTTGACTATCGACTTGCTGTTGCAAGATCAGGGTTATCATTGGCGTACGTGATCCCAAAATACTTTTTTTAATAGTTAGTTTCTTTTCTTCTTTTTCGGAATTGCTTAATTAACTACCCACCTGTCTATCCCGCGTACCAGTTCGCGTTGGCGTTGTCTGGTGTCGGTGTAACTGTTTTTTTGTGTCACGTGATATGTTCCAGATGTGTGTCCCGCTCAGTCAAGACACATGCTGTCATGTAGGGCCGTCTTAACGTGTGGGCACCTAGTCAGTAGTCACGGGTATTGGGCTAGGGGGGGGGCGGATCGGGGAAGATATTGTTGGTCTAGAGGGCTCATGGTAGCTTTTGAGTTGGGTGGAATGGGGAGGGGGTGACAGAGAGAGAGGGAGAGAGAGAGGGAGATAGAGAGAGAGGGGGAGAGAGAGAGAGATACTG